TCTTTTGTTCTTCCTATCATAGCTTTCTGCATAGCTTTATGAGATCAGTTTGATGACAGCATCCATTGCTCATACAGTCGCAAAGCTCCTTTGCTCCTTACATCAGGAATTCAATCTAGATGCTTCAGCTTGATGCCTGGCAATAGCTCTCGCTCTTCAAAATCAAATGAATCAGGAATGGGATCTGAATCCAAATTGTCTTCTCTGAACTCAATGCAGGCTTGAAATGCCACTTTACTTGGGCTATGATAGATTTGGGGTGGTCTGTAGAAGCAACAGACTCAATGATCTGAATGATCTTTTCTCATTCCATGCTTTTTTACGGCCATAACATTGGCCAAAACAGTGTGAGGCAGCAATTAACAAGGCAAACGGAGTGCTGATCCTTCTTGCCACATCAGTTGAATTAAGATCTCAAAAGTGATTCTCAAGCTTTACTGTGGTCTGGTCAGACTGAACCTATTTTGTACAGCTCCTCTCTGTGACATAAGAGAGCTGCCCATGCCCTTGAGGCAGGGCAAAACCTTAGGCAAGTTTCCTTACTCCACACACACACATACCTCTGTTTACTTAGCAGTAAGTAGGAACCCACTAACAAAGTCGATTGTTGGATCGCTTTCCAGGGGTAATAAATCCCTTCCCCAAAAACTCATAATAATTTGGTCACTCTATTCATGACTGTTTGTGAGACATCGCTGTACGCAATTGGCTGCCGTGTTTACCCCACACATCACACAGTCACTACAGTTTACAGTGAATCATGTGAAGGGCTTTGAGACGTCACAACGATGTGATCAGGTGCTGTATCAAATGCAAGGATTATTACTATTATAGTGCAGATGAGACTATGTGGATTCAGTTACAGGAATAAGCTATGAGCAGTGATTAGACAGACCGGGTCACTTCAGTCTTGCTAGGATAAGTTTCAGAGGGGACCTTGTAGAGGTATATAAGATGTTGAATGGAATTGAAAAAGTAAGCTGAGAACAATACTTTCAGACTTGTCAAAACAGCACACGAAGAAGGTTCAGGTTTAGGGTTGCAAAGAGCAAGGAAATATGGATTCATTTCAAAAAAAGCAGCTTGATGCGTTGGGAGGATGGCAGGGTAGGTTTCTGGAAGAAGAGATCAAATTGGACAGAGTCCTTCTTCATCCAAACTTGTGATTTACTGAGAGATCTAAACACAGCTCAGGCTGGGATACAGCCAGTCTTGCTAAACCTCAGGATACAACCATTGAGATGCTGTTCCAAATCTAACTGTAATTCTGATCAGTGTGTTCTTCAGTAGAAATAGGTAGACTTGTGGAGTCCTGTAGTGTATTGGTTAGAGCACTTGCCTTGTAAGCAAGAGGACCTGCGTTCGATTCCCGAGCAGGGCGAAACGTTAGGCAAATTTCCTTTCTCCACACGCCTCTATTTACCGAGCAGTAAGTAGGAACCTGGTTATTATTCACTTTTCCCGTGGTAATAATCCCTTAAAAAAATGAAAAATAATAATAATTTGGTCACTCAATCCATGACTGTTTGTGGGACACTGCTGTGTGCGATTGGCTGCCATGTTTGCCCACAAAATATACGTGTCAGCCAATTATTTTTTTCTTGAAGGATTATTATCAGGCGTGTGGAGTAAGGAAATTTTCCCATGGTTTCACCCTGCCAGGAATCAAACTCAGGTCTTTCGTTTGCAGGGCAAGTGTTCTAACCACTGAGCTACAGCACTCCTGTAATACAAGCCTTCCATATAGGTCATTGGAAGGCATTGAACTCATATAAATCGACATTGTGTTGGATCACTGGAATCAAAGGGCATTTGTAGACTGAGCTCCATCACATGGAGAAAGTTGACAGTGGCTAATTCTATTCAAACGGTTCCTAAATCATTTGAAAATGGAAACAGAATCAAATCCATCGAACTGCGCTGATGATCCCGAAGTGCAAATAGCAAAATAAAGCTGGACAAATACAGGGTGATCTGGGTAGATTAAAGTTGGGCCAGCAAGATGGCAAATGTCAATGGATGTGGACAAATACAGAGTGATGAGATTGAGGAGGGAGAATAAACAGCAATAACGTAAAATAAATACCATTAGTTTATAGGACATGGCACAGGGGAGGGATTAGGGGGTAGATAGATCATTGAAGCTATCAGGATAGTAATGTGTGGCATCCATGAAGATAGCAAATAAGATCTTGGATCTCAAGCTAAAGGAATAGGTCATTGGAAGGCTTTGAACTCATAGAGAACAGTAATCTGGCCTATCTGGAGTACTGTACTGTGTACAGTTCTGGTTGCTGTATCACATTAGGGACATCCTGATATTAGAGCAAAGGTCAAGTAGATTGAGAGCTGGAATTAAGCACCTGAGTAAGAATAGCTACAAAAGCTGTGAATATTTACATTTGAGAATTGCGAAAGATCTTATTGAATTATTAAAACACTTACAGAGTAGATATATACCAAAGCCTAATACTATGTTTAACATGGTCACAAACTCTTCCATATAGAGGACACACTCAAGTTCAGAAGGTCCATAATTCACCTTTGGACACCCTCCTACCCTACCCTTCCTGCCCTCCACTCCTCCTGATCCCAACCCCCTGCTCGGGTTCAAATCCCTGACTGTCTAGTGCCTTGGGATGTCCTCCTGACATAAAAGGCACTTTACAAATGTAAGTTGTTGTTGACTGTCTCACTGAATGAAACCACTAGTCACAGAATGTTAAGTTATTTGAGATTTTTGTTTTACTGAGAAGCCAGGTGAAGAGGCATGTCCACTTCAAGGGACTACCACCACCACAACAACAACAAAATTACACTTGCAAAGCGCCTTTCATGTCGAGACGTCCCAAGGCTCTGAACAGTCCGGGATCAGGATCCGAGATTGGGGGGGCAGGGTTGAGATGAGGGAGGGCAGAGGGGGTAGGAGGGCGCCCAAAGGCACGGTCAAAATGGAGAGTTTTGAGTCGTGCCTTGAAGGAGCAAGGGAGGGAGAAAGACGAAGGGATTGTGGGATGGAGTTCCAAAGAATGAGGGCAGAGAGGCTGAAAGCCCGGCTGCCGATGGTAGCTATGGAGTTCTAGATGACCTGCAGCTTATGGGGGGAAGAGTTGGGGAGGCCGACAAGGAGGGAGTTTCCGAGGTTGAGCCTTGAGGTGACGAATGGGTGTATGAGGGTTTCGGTGGCCTGAGGGTTAAGGCAGTGACAGATTTGGGCGATGTTGCAAAGGTGGGGAAAAGCAGAGCCGGAATGGCACCAATGTGGGAGAGAAAGGACAGTTGAGGGTAGAACAAGACTCTCAGGTTCCTGACTGGCTCGGTGAGGTGGAGTGTGCAACCATGAATGCTGATGCTGCCAGTGCCTGAGGTGCGGAGGCGCTGACACGAGCCAATCAAGAAGGCCTCAGTCTTGCTGATATTCAGATGTAGAAAGTTGGCTCTCATCCAGGACTTGATGTCAGACAGACAATCTGGGTTTCTTATTTAGCTTTGTTGGTAGTAGAATTGCAAATATTGTGCACTCTGCTTGTGGAGGGAAGCATTATTAATAACTAGCTAAGGCAAAGGCTGGCACGTTTAGTGCAGGAATGGGTGCGCGCTGTATTGTTGGAGGTGCTGTCAGTCGGCTGAGACACGAAGATGTGGTCCAATCTGCCTGTCAGGTAGTTGTTAAAGATCCCATAGTACGATTCAAAAAGAGAAGGGAGTTTCTCCTGGTGTCCTGGCCAAGAATTGCCCAGATAAATTTGGTCATTCACTTCATGGCTGTTTACAGGATACACTATGCACACATTGGTTGCTGCACTCATAATAATAATCCTTGTATTTGATATAGCGCCTTATCACATCTTCGAGACAACTCAAAGCACTTCACTTTACAGTATATTCTGTGAAGCACTTTGAGACGTCTCAAAGACGTGAAAACGAGCTATATCAAAGGCAAGGATTATTATTATCATATATATTTACAGAATACACTGTAAAGTGAATATTGTGTGTTCTACAAACAGTCGTGGATTGATTTATTTCACCTACAGATACACAGTCACTACACTTCACAGTGCCTTGGGATGTTCTCCTGATGTGAAGGTGCTCTATAAATGCAATCTGTTGCTGCTGCTCACAGTAAAATCCTATGAAGCACTTTGAGACATTTCAATTATGTAATAAGGTGCTATATCAAATGCAAAGAGTATTATTATTAATTCTCACAAAAATAAAGTAATGGCAAGCACAGCTGTGCTCCTGTTATTGTGCAAATTTTGGCAGCATAGGAACAGATATGATAGGCTCAGTAACACATCTTCAGTTTGGAAAGAGCAAAACAATTGATGTGGGTTTCCACTCCTCTTAGCAATTCTATGAACCCCTCCCTACTGAAAATGTGTGGTTGTGAACACGTGAATATCAGAGTGCATAAATTCAACATATATTGAAATTTAAAATTGCACAGAATTTTAGAATGTCCCTCCAAGAGAGAGTGTGCATTCCATTTCAAATGCAGAGAAATTTCCATGCATAGTTGTCTTACATATGTAGAACCCTCAGTCTGGTTTAGATACTCTTAATCATTGTGATTTGAAGGAAAAATTAAGTCAAAATTAAAAGTAAAATAAGGAAAATGTGTTTTATTCTGTTTATGTTGGCATTGTAAGCCTGAAATATTGATATAGCTGTTGGGAAGAATGTTCATTATTGAGTTGTATGTCAAGATTTTGTTTATAACTGGATTCTAATCTGGGGTTAAGCCTCAATTATTTCCTGTCTAATGGAAGATATAAAATGGTGACAGGACTTTGGTTTGTAGTAGTAGCCTTGCTGTGCGGCTATTGATCTTCATTAAGTTGCACTTACACCAAAGAGATAACTTGCATGTTTGTCAATAATTTACACAGTCACTGCACTGTACAGTAATTATGTGAAACTCTTTGAGACGACTTCCTGATGTGAAAGGTGCTATACCAAATGCAAGTATTATCTTTATGAATATGCTGCGTTACCTCCAGAGACACATTCCAGGCTGAAGGAGATGTCATCAATTGCAATGTCTGTGAGATTGTCTCCACCCACTTCAGCTTCGAATGCAACTTGAAATGGATTGTTGTTGGACAAAATCACGTTGACATATTTCCAGCGATTCTCATTGCCAGTCACTGCCCACATCAGCAAATGCATTCCATTCTCTCCAACAGTGTACACCTGCAAGACAGAAAGAATTACTAAAACATTGCCGAGCAAACAACAACTTACATTGATACAGTCGGACTTTGTTATAATGTAGGGATCTGCTCATAGTATGGGTGTGCCATGAACTCACAATACCACACACAGCTATCTGTGTACCATGCATATGTGCAATGTGCAGGAAATTAGATCATTGGTGTCCTGACAGCCCAGAAGCACTGACTGGCAACCATTTTTATAGATCTCTCTCCACACTCTGATTAAAATGTTTGCACCCAAACTAACTTTGTTCTAGTGGGGTCTGACTGTACTGCATCTTTCGTGTAGGAAAACGTCTCAAGGTGTTTTACAAAGACGTAGTTGGAGCCTGAGCAAGGTGGAAGATGTGGTGGGGTGGTGGGGTGGTGGGAGGTTTGAACGGGGGGGTGGGGTGGGGGGTTACGCAGGAAATGGCCAAAGGTAAAGTCAAAACCAACAGTTTTTAGGTGGTTTTGAAACCAGAGAGGTAAGGGAGTAGATCACTTTTCTTTCCCGAGTGACAGGTTTAAATATCATTTTTCTTCCTCTTGAGTTACTTGTCCGAGAGATAGATTTTTCTGAAGTAGCAAAATGAGCTGCCCATCACAAAATACATGGATTAATTACCCCAGGAATTATGAATTCAAACAACCATAAACGATTTAGTCAAATTCGCTTGTTGGGTGTCACATCAATAAGTATGAACAAGGGGAATGAACAGAATGTAATAGAACTGCTGTACACTGGGTAAGTCAATCGTTGAAAAAATATAAATTAATATTTAATATTGTGCTACTTTTTATAATAGTAATAATCCTTGCATTTGATAGAGCACTTTATCATGTTATTGAGACATCTCAAAACACTTCCCAGGATATATTGTAAAGTGGATTACTGTGTATTTTGTGGGTGCATTTGGCAGCCAATTTGCTTATAGCAATTTCCCACAAACAGCCATGGGATGAGTGACCAATTTTATTTAGGGGATTTATTGGCCAGGGCACTGGGAGAAACTCCCTCTCTTTTCGAATGGTGCAATTGGATCTTTAACGTCCACCTGAACAGGCAGACAGGTCCTTAACATTTCATCTGAAGGTTGACACCTCCAACAATGCAACACACCCCGAGTACTCTACTGGAGCATCAGGCTTGGCTATGTGTTTCCAAGATCCGGTGTAGGGCTTGAACACACAATCTTTTGAGTTCTGAGGTGAGGGAACTACCACTGTGCCAGGCTGACACACAGCCATTTGAATCATTTCTCAAAATGTCCTACTTCCTTGACTAGGGATATCAATTACTAAAGCTGTGCATGATTGTTCACCCAAACCTAGTGTCAATGCAGTGCTAAGAAATAGTAAAATATGGGTCCCTCCTGTGTATTAACTTTGGTTGTAAATTCTCTCTTTGAGACAACATTGCTACACTGGCTAAGATCAGCTATCTCAGCATATAATGAGGAACAAATCTTGGGTTTTCTTCAACTGTATGGCTCAGTTCTATACCATACATGGGACTTATTAACTAAGCCACCAGACTCTGATTTTGTATTATTCACTCAATTTCAGGAATATTGCTGAAACATCAAACCTGAATGGATATTAAACTTTCTTCAGCTGAATGTCAGTGCAACTGAAGCCATATTGCTTTGGCGCTTGCCAGCCTTCTTGCATCGGGCTCTGTCCCTATCATTCTCTCAGGCTGCCTGTTAGATAGTTTACTGAGCCAATACATGACCTTGGTGAGGGGTCCATTGTGAAACAATGAGAACAACAATATTACATTGACATAGTGCTTTTCACATCTGACAGTTAAGGATTTGGAGGAGTGGAGTGGAGGGTTGGGAAGTGCCGATGGCACAATCAAAGAGAAAGGTCTTGTGATGGGCCTCGAAGGTGGCAAGGGAGGCGGTGAGGCGGAGGGATCCTGCAATGGAGTTTCAGAGGGTGGGGCTAGAAAAGATGAAGGCCCAACCACCAATGGTGTGGCGGGAAAGGCAGGGGACATGGAGCAGGCCGGTGCTCACCAAGGGGAGAGTGGGGACAGTTTAATATGGTGTTAATAGGTTGCAGAGGTAGGGAGGAAAAAGACCATGGAGGGCTTTAAAAGTGAGGACTAAGATTTTAAACTCAATTCTCTCAGGAATGGGGAACGAATGGAGCTGGGCGAGCATGGGAGTGATCGGTTCACGGAGTTTAGTATGGAAGAGCCACAAGCTGCAGAGTTCTGAATAATCTGCTGCTTGTGGAGGGAAGAGTTAGGAAGTCCATCGATCAAGGAATTAGCGTAGTCAAGCCTGGACCTGATGAAAGGGTGAATGAGGATCTCGGCAGCCTGAGGGTAGAGGCATTGACAGAGGTGAACAATGTTTCGGAGGTGTGGGAAGGTGGACAGGTCATGGCACAGATGGGTTTTAAAGGGTAGTTGAGCATCTAAAGGACACCAAGGTTTCATACTGGATCTGTGAGGTGGAGAATGATAATAACACCATTTTGTCTGAATGGCGATGCTGCGACGCTCTTAGGTGAGGACTAGCTGATGGGAGTTGATCAGGAGGGCTTCCGTCTTGTCAAAGTTCAACTGGAGAAAGGTTGCTTTCATCCAGGACTTGATGTGTGACAGACAAAATGGTGTTATTATCAATGCAAGTTGTTAAATTAAGAGTTGCCTTCTGCGTAGCAACGTTTTCCCCACCTACCTTCAAAGTTCCCATTTCTCTTGAACCATACATATAGATCCAGAAGCGCAGGTGGCAGACTCCCAGACTTGCTGGGAAGTGATGAGTGGTGGTTATTCTTGCAATGTCCCCTTCACGCTGGGCTAAAGAATTCACATACGCAAACATTCCTCTGGCCCCTTCGAAAAAAACAAATCCCATTACAGGTCTGCATTGAAAATTTACAACATCAAAAAGCTGGGAGTTAAATTACCAAATAATAATAATCCTTGCATTTGATATAGTGCCTTATTACATCTTTGAGACATCTCAAAGTGCTTTACAAAATATATTGTAAAGTGGAGTGACTGTATATTTTATTGGCGAAATATGTCAGCCAATTGCGCACAACAGTGTCCCACAAAACAGTCATAGATTGAGTGACCAAATTATTATTATTTTTTTGAAGGAGCATGAAATTGTAAGGAGCATAGAAGTGCTGTTTATCTGTTGCGGCAGACGTTATAAATTGATTTCATGTTGACCTCAGCAGTGAAAGGATTTTAGCAAACTCCTAAAAGAATATTCATCAGAAACTCGCTTTGAGAACAAGGCGATGTACTGAAAAGAATAATCATCCTTTTCATCGGCAAAGGTAGATGTTGGCAAATAGACTTCCGCATTAATGGAAACCATCCAGATGTAATTTCTCCTTGTCTTGTTCATCACCGTATAATCATGCATAGAATTTAGAAGAATTATAACCTGCGGGTAAAAATTCCAGTGATTCGTAACAGATTCAATGTAACTGATTTGACTGATTGCTTTTGGTCTGGAACATGGATCTATCTGTCTTTCGAATAAAACTTTAAGCTGAGGTCCCATCCATCTGTTCAGGTGGATATTAAGCAGCCCATTGGGACTATTTGAAAAGGGAAACTCCTAGTGTCCTGGCCAAAGGAAATCCCCATATAGAAATTCCAGAGGTAGATTGTTGGAATGGAATGTGCACTCTCTGCCTGGAGGGATTCATCCTGCTTACCTAAATCTAGAGACTATTAGGCATAGGTTGGCGAGAGCCCAGGCTTGGGGACCCCAGAATGTGAGATATTGCTGGAGACTATCGAGCTTAAACCACACTGTGTGCTATTGACAACACTATATGGCAAGCTTTCCTGTTGCGTCTTCATCTAGGACCACCCTACCCATTAGGAAATAATTCTTGCCCAAGTGACTGGTCTGCCCTTCCAAGTCTTGCCAATGAGACAGGCTGGATGTGCTATCATCAGCAATGCCCTGGAATACTACGGACCAGCCTGGCTCAGGAACTGGACTACTGAGTCCGGCACAGAGTGTTGGCTTAATTCCGACATTCCATTGTGAAACATGTCACCTGAGAGCAAGTTCAGCTCTACGGAGAGCAAGTAGTGATCATTGATCCTATATATTAGATGTACCTATAACCTCTGCCACAGCAGTACAACTGCCTGTTTCATGTCCCTTACCACATCATCAACCATCCTGTCTTCACTCTTTGGAACTCCATCCTAAATATCCTCCGCCTCACCCCTCTCTCTCTCCACCTTTAAAACCCATTTTTAAGACCTTTTCAACCTACGCTTTTGGTAATTTTTTACCAGCACTCTCCTCAACTTCTCCCCGAGGCACCCTCCCCCACCCTCCACCCCAGCCCCCTACACCCAAGCTAAGAAGGTACTAAATAACCAATAGAGAAAACAATAGGTTTTCATCTTGAAAATCTCAGCCCGGAAACTGCGTAGTAACTGGTCACTCCCCTAGGCCTAAAAGGAATCTAAGCTTGTGTATCTTCAATCTATATTAATAAAATGACAATGTCTGTCTGCATTTCAAGAAGGATCACAATAACCAATTGAAGTAGAGACATTATTTATACCTCAGCGGAAAGATCTTGCAACTCGGAGTGACTTGGGCATATTTGTTGTCAGGTATCTCGTGCATGAGTTATTTTCAGTTTTGTGTTTTTTGCTGCAGTTACACCTGGTGGCCACCAAGTCAAAGTGGCGCTGTGGCATCGTGCGTCGCAGAGCAACAACAACAAAATAATGATAATCCTTGCATTTTCACGTCGGGAGGACGTCCCAAGCACTTCACGGAACACACTGTAAAGTGAATTGACGGTATATTTGTGGGCGGACGCGGCAGCAAATTACATTTCTATAGCGCCTTTCACGTCGGGAGGACGTCCCAAAATGCTGGACAGTCAGTGTTTCCGCCTCACACTGCAGTTACACCTGATGGCCATGCTGGCTGACCGTGGCGCTGTGGCATCCTGCGCCACAGAATACCCGCGTAATAAAATAAAGAACGCAGATGAAGCTAAGCCACAGCAACCACAACAAAATTACATGGAGTCCTTTAGCTCAGTGGTTAGACCACTCGCCTCACAAGCAAGAGACCTGAGTTCAATTTCCGGCAGGGTGAAACCTTGAACAAGTTTCCTTACTCCATACGCCTGATAATAATCCCTCAAGAAAAAAAACTACAATAATTTGGTTACTTCAATCCACGACTATTTGTGGGACACTGTGCGCAATTGGCTGCCGCGTTTCGCCACAAAAATGCAGTCAATTCACTTTACGGTATATTCTGTGAAGCGCTTTGAGACGTCTAGAAGACGTAAAAAGCGCTATATCAAATTCAAGGATTATTATTATTTTTAAAGTGCCGATGCCTCCTACTGAGACTTCCCGCAGAAGTCCTCTGAGAAGAGCATAAAGATGAAATTTCTGTCTGTGTGTCTATCTGTGTGTGAATCTACATTCCATATTGGATCCTTTAGTTGCAAACATAGCTGCAACCGGTACATCTAGTTCTACAATAAAACATTTCTTTGACCCAAGTAAAGTATGTCATCTCCTGAATCAATAAAGCCTCCGCGCCAACAGATTTTACCCTTTTAAACTTAGAGGAGAAAAGTATAAAGGACATATCACTTGTCTGTTCTGCAGACACTGTTTTCCAGATTTATGGGAGATCAAAGAGCTACATGGAAATGAATAGGACCACAAAAGAACACTACAGTCCTTCTGGTCAGCCCCTCAATNAAAAAAATGGAAAATCATAAACTAATGGATTGCTTATTCCCTTCAATCAGTTTGTTCACCACACAATAATTTAATTTCCTCTTAGGTTTTTTGACATGTTTTGTCTCCATTGCCTCTCTGAGATTAAAAAAAAATCAAAACATTGGATATCACCAAAAATGATAGAAAACTATCTGATCTATGCTGGAACAGCACAGCAGGTTGCTCAGCATGAGAAAGATAGGATGTTAAGGTTTCAAATGTTCGCTGCATCTAAACATTCATCTCTCTCTTCCTCTTACAAATGTTGTTCGACCAGTTGTGCATTTCCTGCATTTTCCGTTTTTATGGGATACGGGGACCTGAGCATAATGTTAAGCCAGAGATCTGAGAAGGGAGCAGATGAAAGTGTTTATCTCATGGTATGTGTGACCAGGTAGGACTGGAAATATTGCATTATATATTAGGTGTCAGCCTGGCTCAGTCAAAGGAACTCTTGCCTCTGAGTCAGAATGTTGTAGGTTTGGACATTCAGCTCACACAGTCCAGTCTGTCCTGAAATTGTCCTTCACATTCCTGAACCAGTGCCCTCTCTTCCTGCTGTTTGGCATACATAGTAGTGTTTGCCTACAAAGGCAGAGTCACAACACTTTACAGAAAACTCTGTAAAGTGCATTGAGATATTCTCAATCTGATAAAGCATAAAATCAAAAGCAAGGATTATTATTGTTCTAGGTTTACTATTCTAATTTCAATTAGCATTTTATATACTCCTTAAAATCTCCCGTGAGACATCTCAAAGCTAAAGAGCCCTAGTTTACCAAATCATTCCTATTAGTTGATAACTCTAACAGTGGGAATTATCCTTGTTGCTCTCCTCTGCACTATGTCTAGAGTCTGGTTGCTTATATTGGCGTGACTAGAATTATATATTCCTCCAGGCACGACCTGAACCAAAGTATTTGCAGTTGCAAAATGGGTATCCATTAACATCTGCCTTGGCAAGTTGCATCCCATCCAAAAAATACGGATTGACCCTGTTATAATATATTCTTAAAACTGTTAATGACAATTTAGTAAGACCAAAAGGAGCAGGTATAAAAAGGTATAAAATCACAACGATTAAGATAGGGCGAATGGATGTATTAAATAAATTAGACAAGTTTGAAGAAGACAAAGCACATGGCCCACTTGGACTGCACCCAATGATTCTTAAGGAAACTTGGGAGAAGATAACTGAGACTCTCGTGTATATATTTAAGAACTCTGTAGAGAAAGGAATCGTGCCAGAGGACTAGAGAATGGCCAATGTAATGCTCAGTTTTAAAAAAGATGATAGAGCTAATCTAAGAAACTAAAGGCCTGTCATCTTACAACAACAACTTTTATTTATATAGCACCCTTCACGCGGGGTAGCATCCCGGAGCACTTCACAATAATGGAGTCAGACAACAAGCCAGGAGGAGAGGCAGGTAGGAGGTCACTGTAATCACAATCAAAAAGCAATGTTAAGATGCTCATGACCATCTCATTGTCGGTTCTGAGCAAGGCATTAGAATCTGTAATAAAAAATGAAGTAACTAGTCATCTGGAGAAGGAGAATACAATTATGATACAGCCAGCATGGATTTACGAAAGGAAGCTCATGATAGACCAACCTTATTGAATTCTTTGAGGATGTAAATGATAAAGTAGATGAAGAAAATGCAGTGGATTTAATGTATCTGGATTCCCAGAAGGCCTTTCATAAAGTGCCACATGAGAGGCTCATGATTAAATTAGGGCCATGAGGAATCATGGGAGAGGTAGCAGTATGGAGGATTAAAAGGATTAAAAGATGGTTAGGAAACTGAAAGCAAAGTGGAGAAGTCAAGGGGATCTTCTCAAGTTGGAAAGAAATAGAAAGTGGTGTTCTGCAGGGATCTGTGTTAGGACCACTACTGTTCACCATATACATAAATTATTCGGATTCAGGTATAGGACGTGTGGTGTCAAAAATTGCAGATGATACCAAAATGGGGGACATGGTAAACAGTGAAGCAGATTGCAGAAGAATGTAGGAAGACATATATTAGCTAGCAGATTGGGCAGACAGATGTCAAATGAAGTTTAATGTAGGAAAATGTGAAGTAATT